CCTACTCTTAGGTTTGCAGCGACATCCCACTCAAGGTTCAACTCTTTTAACGCCCACATGGCTTTATGCTCAAGTTCTGCTGGAAGATGACATGCCTTCCCAAACACCAATCGATATGGAGACATTCCAATCGGCGTCTTGTAGGTTGTCCTATAAGCCCAAAGAGCATCATCAAGTTTTCTTGACCAATCAGTCCGGTTGGCATTCAAAGTCATTAACAAAATGCTCTTGATCTCCCAGTTGGAGACTTCAACATGTCCGCTTGCTTGAGGGTGGTAGGGGGTGGAGACTTTATGAGTGACACAATACTTGGTGAGTAAGGTATCAAAAGCACGATTGCAAAAGTGCGAACCCCCATCACTAATAATGGCCCGCAGAGTACCAAACCTTGTGAAGATGTTCTTTTTCAAGAAAGCCACCACACTTCGAGTTTCATTGTTGGGTAAAGCCACGATTTCAACCCATTTCGACACATAGTCCACAGCTACCAAAATTTAAGTGTTCCCACAAGAGCTCACAAACGGTCCCATGAAATCAATACCCCAAACATCAAAGATATCAATCTCTAAAATGGTGGTAAGTGCATCTCATTCTTCTTAGAAATTCCACCGCCTCTTTGGCATTCATCACAACGCTTTACAAGATCACTAGCGTCTTTGTAGAGGGTAGGCCAACAGAATCCACAAGTCAAAGCTTTTGTAGCCATTCTCGCTCCACCATGGTGACCACTATATGGTGAAGAGTGGCAAGCCTCAAGAATTTGTTCTTCTTCTGGCACACATCACCGGATCATACTATCGGTACATATCCGGAAAAGATACGGCTCATCCCAATAATAATCCAAGCAATCTTGTTTGAGCTTCTTCCTTTGGTTTGAAGAGAATTCATTCGGTACAATGCCGCTCACAAGATAATTGGCAAAATCGGCAAACCATGGCATCCCGGTCATTGAAACATATAGGAGTTGATCGTCGGGAAATGAATCATTTATCTCAAGGCCATCATGTGGCCTCCCCTCCTCCTCCAAACGGGAAAAGTGGTCCGCCACTTGATTCTCACTACCTTTGTGGTTTTGAATCTCTAGATCAAACTCTTGCAAAAGAAGCATCCACCACATCAACCTTGCCTTAGAATCTTTCTTGCTCATCAAATACTGAAGTGCCGCATGGCCGGTGTGAACAATCACCTTAGTACCCATCAAATACGGCCAACACTTCTCCATGGCAAACACAATAGCAAGTAGCTCCTTTTTGGTCACTATGTAGTTGACTTGGGCATCAGTCATGGTCTTACTAGCATAGTAGACCGGATGGAAGATTTTTTGATTCTTTGCCCCTACACCACTCCAACCGCATCACTAGCATCAGACATGTGCTCAAAAGGCAAGCTCCAATCCAGTGCGGTGATAATAGGAGTAGTAGTCAACATGAACTTAAGCAACTCGAATGCTTCATGCAATCTTAATCTTAATTGAAATGGAACTTGGAATCCTTCTCCAAAAGTTTACACAAAGGGTTTACCACCTTGGAAAAGTCCTTGATGAATCGGCGATAAAAACCCGCATGACCCAAGAAGCTCCTCACTCCCTTCATGGATGTAGGAGGAAGGAGTTTGGAGATCACCTCAATTTTAGCTTGGTCAACCTCAATACCATATTTTAAAATTTTGTGGCCGAGGACAATGCCTTCCTCAACCATGAAGTTACACTTTTCCCAGTTCAATACCAAATTGGTCCCTTCTCATCTAGCCAACATTCTATCCAAGTTGTTCAAACACTCTTCAAACGAATTCCCAACCACAGAAAAATCATCCATAAAGACTTCAAGAATATCCTCCACCATGTCAGTGAAAATAGCCATCATACATCGTTGAAACTTTGCCGGTGCATTACACAACCCAAAAGGCATCCGTGAGAATGCAAAAGTACCATAGGGGCAAGTGAAAGTGATCTTCTCTTGGTCCTCAGGAGCAATAAGTATTTGGTTATAAACAGAGTATCCATCCAGAAAGCAATAAAAAGCACGCCCGACCAACCTATCAAGCATTTGGTCAAGAAATGGAAGCGGGAAATGATCTTTCCGAGTAACTTTGTTAAGCTTCCTATAGTCCATGCACACTCTCTACCCGGAGACGGTTCTTGTTGGGATCAATTCATTCTTGTCATTTGTCACCACAGTCATGCCCCCTTTTTTTGGGACATATTGCACCGGAGAGGTCCACGAGCTAACATAATGGGTTACACAACGATGTTAAGGGTTTGTCACCCTCCTCCAAAATAATCTTGTGCATGCAAAAGGCGGGGCTTATGCCCCGGATATCCGCCAAAGTCCAAATGATTGCTATTTTCCTCCTTGGTAGCACCTCCAATGTGGACTCTATCTGCATGTGAGTTAAGCACGAAGAAAGGATAGTGGTAGAGTAGAAGAAAGGCCAAGGAATTCATACCTGAGGTGCCGGGGCAATGGCTTTAGCTCCAAGGTAGGAGGCTCCTCGATTGAGGGCTTTGTTGGGGGAGTATTCCGATTTTTAAGATCCAAAGATAGCTTTCGGGGCTCATAAGTGTACGGCCCCATGCCTTGCAATGCATTTACACACTCCACATAACCATCACTCTCCTCATCATCATCTAAGTTGAGCAAAATGGCTTCCAATTTGTCCTCAACATTCATTGTTGCACTAGAATCATCAACTATCACGTCGGTCACCAAATCCACAAATGAACAAACTTCATTACTATTAGGTTGCCTCATTGATTTGCACACATGGAAGACCACCTTTTCGTCACCAACCCAAAAAGTGAGCTCACCGGCTTCCACATCAACAAGATCCTTCCCCGTAGCAAGGAAAGGTCTACCCAAAATGATAGACAACTCATAGTTCACTTCACAATCAAGGATAACGAAGTCCGCTGGGAGGATAAACTTATCAACTATAACCAAAACATCATCAATAATACCCAAAGGCCTCTTTATTTCCGATATGCCTTTTGCAACCTCATGGATGTGGGTCTTGGTTGCCCAATTCCCAAAGTTTTGAACACCTAGTAAGGTATCAAGTTCATTCTTCCCGAGATCACATAATGCTTTGGCAAAATTGGCGCTTCCAATAGTGCAAGGGATGGTAAAAGCGCCTGGATCTTCCAACTTTGGAGCCATTGAGTGCACAATAGCACTCACTTGGTGAGTCATCTTGATTGTTTCACAATTCATCGATCTTTTCTTGGTTACCAAATCCTTCATGAATTTTGCAAATCTCGGTATTTGTTCCAATGCCTCAACCAATGGCACATTTATGGACAAACACTTCATCATATCAATAAACTTTTTGAACTAGTTCTCACTGTTTTTCTTTGCAAGCCTTTGAGGGTATGGAGGAGTAGGCCTTGGCATTAGTGCCTTAGCCTTTGGCGCCACCGGTTCCAGCATGTCAATCACATGTTCCCTAGACAGGTTCACCTCTTCTTGCGTCTCTTCCATGGTGTCATCAATATCAATTCTCACTTCTTCATTGGCTTGAACCACATTGCTTGGGATTTCATCCTCTTGAACCACAACATCTTCATCTACAATCCTTCTTTGATTTGAGGTGGTTGCATTTCCACCTTGTCCACTTCTAGTCGTTACGGCCATGGCATGTCCCGTATTATTCCCACCCTTCGGGTTCACCACCGTATCACTAGGTAGTGCCCCCTTAGGACGAGTGCTCAAAGCTTGTGAGATTTGGCCTAATTGAACCTCCAAATTCCGAATAGAAGTGTTGTGCGAGGCTATTTGAGCATCGGAGTCGGCATTCTTCTCCATCATCTATTTTAACATGTTTTCAACTCTACCCATCTCATTAGAAGAAGAGTTCTGGCCTTGAGAAGGATATGGAGGTAGATTACTTGGTTGTTGGAACATCGGAGGCCTTTGAAAACCTGGCCCCCGGTTGTCGTTGTTTTTGTTGGTCCACCCTCCTTGATTATTGCCTCCCCAGTTTCCTTGATTGTTGTTTCCCCAATTTCCTTGATTATGGTTGTGCATTTGGATCGGATATCCGAAATCCAATTCGATCCACTCTATTTTGGATTTTCGGATTTTTGGATTTTTGGATTGGATACGGATTATGTTTTATAAAATTTTGGATTTTCGGATTTTTGGATTTTTGGATTGGATACGGATTATGTTTTATAAAATTTTGGATTTTCGGATTGGATTGGGATTGGCATGATTTTAAACCGATCCGATCCGAAATCCAAAATTATATGGGCCTATATATAAATACTACCCTAAAATTTTAGGGTTAAGTAAACTTATTCATTTATCAGACTGACCCTAGGTTATATCGATGTTCAGTGCTCTTTTCCGCCTCTTTTCACAGCTCAGTCCTCTCGAAGTCTTCACTCTTCATCTCAGTCCGACTAAGCTTCCACCTCTCGTTTTCACTCTTCATCTCAGTCCTCTCGAAGTCTCAAGTCAGTGAACTCCAAGTCCTCTCGAAGTAGAAAACTAATCTCGAATTCTCAACTCTCAAGTCTTCACATTCGATTTCCAATCAAGAGCAAACGACGCAAAACCCTAATAGACGGTAAGCCTGGAATTCTCTCTAACTATTAGTTATTATTGGTTCATTGTTACTTTCCCCCTCTCTCTTATTGCTCAAATGTGATGTTTTCCACCTTTCATATCACGGCAGAAATCAAATAATGTATGTTTTTTATGTCTTTTTTTGTGTGAGTTAGAGAGAGATTACAACATCTTTATTTTGAATTTTCATGTTGTTTTTTCAATCTTTGTAGGTGTGTATGGATTTGTCTTTATGTTCTATTTTTTTATCTCTCTTTCATTTTCTATTCTTCTATTTCTGATTTTATTTTGGTTTTTTGTTTGTTTTGGTAGATGGAAAACGAGGCAGAGACAGTGAATAAACTTCAAATTGTTGAATAAGTTGGTAAAAGTAATGCTTCAACTGATTCAACAACCAACAACAGTGAATATGAACCTGGCTCGAAGAAAAGAAAAATGGTTAAAGAAAGATCAATGGCTTGTCGCTACTTCAACAAGTTCACTGATGCCGAGGGTGTGAAAAAAGCGAGATGCAAGTTTTGTTCAGAAGAATATGTAGCTGATACCAAGCACAGCGGCACAAGCAATTTGTTATTGCATATTCACAAATGTCTGACCAATCCCTACAAGGCAAAAGGTAGCCAGAAAACATTAGGTTTTCAACCGCATGGTCTAACAGGTGATGTTTTAGTTATCCCTTGGAAATTTGATCAAGAGGCATGTAGGAGGGATTTAGCTCGTATGATCATTAAAGATGAACTTCCTTTATTTTTGCTGAAAAAGATGGATTTAGAGACTTTGTGAGAACTCTTCAACTTTTATTTCATATCCCATCTCGTACTACTATGACTAGGGATTGTCTTGAGATGTACCATGAAGAGAGACTTGCTTTGAAGTCTATTCTTAAAGAATCAAAACAGAGAATATGCATTACTACTGATACATGGACTTCAATTCAAAGAATTAATTATATGTGGGTTACAGCCCATTACATTGACAATAATTGGAAATTGCATAAAAGGATATTGAATTTTTGTCCAATTACTAGTCATAAAGGTCAAGATTTAGCTAGTGCTATTGCTAAGTGTTTAATTGAATGGGGAGTGGATAAAGTATTTACTGTGACAGTTGATAATGCGAGTTCTAATGATGTGATGGTTAGAGAGTTATCCAAGCAATTTACTAGATGGAACACTAACTTGATGGAAGGTAAGCATGTTCATGTGAGATGTATGGCTCACATCATCAATCTAGTTGTTCAAGATGGGTTGAGAGATGGGAGTGTGTCTGTTGAACGAATAAGACAAGCTGTTAGGTACATTAGACAATCTCCCGCAAGATGGAAAAAGTTTAAAGAATGTTGTGATCTTGATAGGATAACTTCTAAAAAATCATTGTGCTTGGATGTTCCTACTAGGTGGAACTCCACATATTTGATGTTGAAGGTTGCTACAGTTTATGAGGAAGCCTTTACAAAGTATTGTGATATTGATTATGGTTTGATGTCATGTATTTCTAACTGCATTTGTGAGGATTAACAACCTGAAAGTCCACTTTTAAGTAGTGATTGGGATAGTGTAAGACGTATTGTGAAGTTTCTGGAAATTTTTTATGAACTCACCTTGAAATTATTAGGTACATTTTATATTACGTCTAATGTGCACTTTCTTGAAATATGTGTTGTTGATTCTTCTTTGAAAGAGTTGATGCAAAATGAAGATGCTTTCTTGAGAGAAATGGAAAAGAATATGAAAGAGAAATTTGACAAGTATTGGGGGGATCCACATAAGATGAACAAAATGATTTTTATCTCATGTGTGCTTGATCCACGCCATAAGTTTAATACTCTTTCATTTGCGTTTGGTGCTATGTTTGGAGAAACAGTAGGTTTGAAAATACAAGTGGATGTGAAAACATACATGGATACTTTGTTTAATGTGTCTGCAATGAAAAATGGTGGTTCTGGTTCATGCCCATCTTCTCCATCTTCTCCATGTTATGGTCCATCTTCTTCATCATTGCTCTCAAAATTCATGCTAGATTTAAAGAAGCATAAGAAATGTGGTAGAGTTGATTCTAAAACGGAGTTAGATAAATATTTCGGTGAAGATGTTGAGGAAGACCATGAAAAGTTTAACATTCTAGGTGGTGGAAGTTGAACTCACCTAGATTTCCCCCTCTTGCTGAGATGGTACGTGATGTGCTAGCCATTCCGATTTCTAGCACCGGCAGACGCATACTTAATCCATTTAGGAGTTCATTGACTCCTAGATTGGTTCAAGCTCTTGTGTGTGTCCAAGATTGGCTTCGTAATGAATCAACAACTTCGGTTAAAATTGAATAAGATTTAGATAATCTTGAACTTGAAGCTGGTAAGTCTATCTTATTACTTGTGTTTAATGTATACTTTATTTGTATGTTTATTTAGATTACTTCTAAACTAATTTCTTGTGTTACTATCTTATTATACAGAATTTATGAACACGGGAAGAGAGCCTTGCATTGTCGACATATAGTGATTTTCCATTTGTTGTACAAGCTCAGGTATTTCATTATACACTTGCTCTTTTTTTTGTTGTATGTTTCTGGAATCTGGAATTCTGGATAGCTTGAAGCTTTGAGCTGTCTTTTTCTTTCTCTAAAAATGCTCTTTGAATTGTTTGAAATTGCAAATTTTTAACTTGTCTCACAATCCTACTGATAATCTGAGATTGAGAGCTACATTTGGCCTGGTTGCTGGTTGTGTTGCTGGTTTGTGTTGACTGTTGCGGCTTCCTAAAAGTTGGAACTTGGAACTCTTTTGTTTTGTGTAATATGTTAAAGAACTGTTGGGACTTTAGTAGTTTGGTTTGTTTTATTTTTCTATGACAGTATGGTTTGAAAGACAATTGATTGTGTTTTGTTTGGGGTCTTCAATTTGGTTTGGTTTGAAACTTTGAAAGACAATTGTTGTATTATGTAATATTTCAGATTGTGTTGTTTTTGGAGATGAATGGTGTTTACTGTCCAGTAACAGTTGTGTGGAGAACTGGAGATGAATGGATATGAATTATGTTTTATTTGCATTGTTAAGTTCCAACATTGTTACCCAGTTGGGTAAATTGAACTCAGTTGTGTAAATTGAACTCAGTTGCATTGTTAAGTTTCATGAGTAGTCAATTGTGTAAATTGAACATTGCTAAGTTCGAACAAGTATTTGGAAAGTGATTGCTCAATTTGTATTTGGAAGTAATTGCCAGCATTTGTTTATGTACTTCGAACAAGTACTCCAATGAGTGACAATCGGATCTGACAATCCGAAAAATTATCCGATCCAAAGTTTAAAATCCGATCCGATCCAATGTTAATTCGGATCGGATTCAGATTGCCCTTTTCAGAATCTGAAATCCGAATCCGAAATATACTAAATCCGATCCGATCCTATCCGTGCACAGCCCTAGCCTTGATTACCCCAATTACTTTGATTTGCTTGATTATTCCAATTGCTTTTATTAGAATTACCACCACTCCAATTGCCTTGGTGGTTTTGGATGTTCCAATTACCTTGGTTCCCTTGTGACCTTCCATTGTTGTTGATTTTGCCTTTAAGCATTTTTCTTTGACCTTGATAATTATTGACATATTAAACTTCTTCATCTTGCTCATTGAATGAATCACCTTGATCATAACCACTATCATCTTGCATAAATTGCTCCGGACGGTTTTGCATTTGTTGACCTTGTTTCAATCTTTTGTTTACCATCATATTCACACCTTCCATTGCATGCACTTGTTTCGGCCCTTGAATTTGTTGAAGCTGAGCCTTGGACAATTGTTTTAAGGTAATTGTCAACTCGGCTATAGCTTGCCCATGGTCATGTAGCTCCTTGTGTAGGTGAATAACATTAGGGTCACCTTGCGGCACATTGGCTCTCCTTTGCCACGCCGAAGAGGTATCTGCCATCTCATCAAGAATTTCACAAGCTTCGGCATATGGCGTGTTCATGAAGTTACCCCCAGGGTGTTGGTTAACCACACATTGATTAGTTGTTTTGATCTCCCTGTAGAAGGTCTGTTGGATCATGGCCTCGGTCAAATCATTGTTAGGACACTCTTCAACCATGGTACAATATCTTTCCCAAATCTCGTGCAATGGCTCATTGGGTTCTTGCTTGAAGGCAAGAATATTATCCCAAAGCGTTGCCATATGTCCCAGAGAGAAGAATTTGGAAATGAACTTTTCTTCCAACTCATCCCAAGTGGTGATGGAATGGTTGGGCAACCTCTCTAACAAGTCCAATGCTTTTCCCCGTAGAAAAAAGGGAAATAGCCTCAACCTCATCGTGTCCTTAGAAACATTTGTTTGCTTGCTCCCCCAACAAGTATCGACGAACCCCTTGAGATGCTTGTAGGAATTTTGATTCGGAGCCCAAGTGAAGAAACCCCGTTGTTCAAGTAGTGTAAGCATCGCGTTGGTGATTTGGAAGTTGGTCGCCCTAATGCGAGGATGGACTATAGCACTTGCATAACCCTTGTTTGGCAATTGTTTGTGGGTTGTCGCTCCTGGTGGAGGTGGGGGAGGGACAGGCACATTATCGTGAGGCTCGCGGCCTTGTCTATTAGCTTGAGGTTCAATAAGGACCTCATCTATTGCATCATCGTCCATGTTCTCCCCCAATGGAACATTTCCAATGTGATCATTGTTGATAGCCATTTTCGTACCTAAAATCAATTCAAACACAAATTAGTAACTCAGAAGGAAAGAAAGACAAAACACACAAAAACCTAGATATATAGCTAAATCCATTTAACTCCCTAGCAACGATGCTAAAAATTGATCTCGCCCAAACTCACACCACAAATAGGTAGTGAGGCGGTCGAAGTAATAATAAACCCAATACGAGTCGGGATCGAATCCATAGGGAGTTAGAATTTGGATTAGGTATATAACTAGAGCTAATGTATGATGTTCCTTAGATTGGACTTCCACATATTCATTGGTTGTTTTCTATTTTTAGATAACGATTGCAAATAATAACTAGAAGATAGTGTTTTTGGTTTTGACTATTTCTCAAATGATAAAGGAATCTAGGATCGTGACTTTCACCTAGGTGGCTACCTAACGGGTTGTAAACCATAGGGAAAGTTTGATTTTTCGGGTTCGTGGTATAGTAAACACACGCAATTGCTCCCTCTATACATCTCGGTAGTTTGAAAGATTTTGCCCAATTTGGCTTTCTCAAGCCCAAATGGGTATTTGCACAAATCAAGTGATATATGCTCAAGTTGGGTCTTACTATCTCTAGATTTGACCTTTTAATTGGGGCTATCAATTTCTTGAATTCACCCGAATTCCTTGCTAGCCAAGTTTTCCTAAACCCAGTCTCTCTTTCTCAAGCAAAGACTAGGTCAAAAGGGCATGAATCAATGTTTGTAACCATTAATTCTAGAATTTAAGCATAAACAAGGCTAGATATCACTAACCCAATCAAAAATAAGCCCTAAAATTAAATACCCATTAAGTATCCACACTAGGATTGAGCCACAACCCTAGCTAAAGATTTAACTACTCATCAAAAATAAAGAAATACAAGAAGAAATTAAGGTAGAATGTATGATCATAGATTAAACAAAGAAAAACTAATGTTAAGAAGTCAATCTAATACAACTTTACTCAAAAAAGTAAAGAAAAACGCTCAGGTGCACCTTTGCAAACTAAACTTAACATAAAAATGACAAAAGTTGTATTTATACTAAGATAAAAATATCTGACAAAAATTACCCTACGGAGGTTATGCAGCCGCATAATTCTGATGCGGACCGTA